ATCATCCTTTAAACACAAAACAATATCATCTGAACATAGAAAGTCAGAGTGAACACAGAAAATGAACATACAGGTTAGGATAAGTAAAATTGAAAATATTGAATATTTATTAAATATTAGTAAGAATATAAATAATGAGACTTTTATAGTGGAGCTCCCGTGCGGGCCAAAGGCCTGTGCSAGCGGAGCACAATAACTAAGGAAAAATGGTAAACCCATGGGGTTGAGTTTTGATCAACCGACACAGGAAGCCCAATTGTCCTTCCGTACATCCGTCCGTGTACATCACGATTCTGATTGGCTACTAGCTTTTGGTGGGAAAAGGAAGAGCGCTCGCGTCAATTTTTGAAAACAACTTTTTCACCATAATGACTGCGCCAACAATGTCGGAAAATCAACGGGTAGCTAAYAGAAAGCGATCTTTATCTGAAGAAGAAAAGACAAAAGAGAGMGTTGAGGAAGTCTTAGTGAAGAACAACACGGCACTAGGCTTGAACGGGAGAGAAAACGTGACTGAAGCAAATCGAGAAACAAGTGAACGCCAAAGACAACGATTATTGAGGAAGAATTTCAAAGAGGAGAACCGAAGATACCGTGACGTTATTCAACAAATGGCAGTATGTTAGATTATGACTATTAACTGTCAAGCGGTTTTTCTACTACTTTAGGAAACACAAGCAGTTTTAAATTTGGTTTAAACTTGCTTTTAAAAATTTGAAAATCTTCACCTGACACACTTCAAAACTTCACAATTAAGTAAATCAGTTTGTGAATTGTGTGTGCAAGCTACATGATGATCTTTTTTGATAGAACTACTCGGATGTTTTTGTTTAAGCTTCAGCTTATATAAAGTCCTATGCATTTTAAAAAGCTGAAAGACTTGATATTTATGATATTTATTTGAAAGTTCAGATTTTTATTCTTTTACTCTTCAATGAACTGTCAACAAATACAGGAAATATTATGTTTGGATACCGGTAAGCAAAGACTTAGAGAAATAGCTTTAAAAACTTTCATATATTAAATATCATTAGTCATTCTGATTTCTTTGTTTATAAAACTGTCAAAATGTAATTATTTATTATCATTTATGATCATTTATGATCACTGTCTGATTGAAAAATATCAATCCAAAAAATGTATCGATTTATGTGTCATTCCTGTGTAATCAAATTATTTTTCATGTTTCCTGTATGATTGAAAAACCACCATTGAAACTGTCAAATTGCATTAATCATTTTTTATGATCACTGTATGATTGATAAATATCAAATGCCAAAATGCATTTATCATTATTTCAAAAACTCATACATAATTAACGAGCTACCAGGCCAATAGAATGAGCCTAGCTATTTGGTCACATGCATGGACCTTTATATCTGATAAAACACTCCTTATTAGTATTCTTTATATAGTAAGGATGACCTTTATCAGATATAAAGGTCCATGACCCTAGCAAAGGTCTCAGGTTTGAAACCTGATCATTGACCAATGCAGAATGTCAACCRATTGCTGTGAACAGCCAAGAGCGGTTCTATTTTACTTTATGAGTATTCAATGTGGGATGACAAGAGTGCTTTGTACAGTGATTCGTGCATGATCAGTTTGCCCTATTTATCTCTGAACATATTTGTACGGCAATTTCTCCAAGAATTTTAACGGATTTGAGTTTCAAATGTGTTGGAGTTTTTGAAGCCGTTTAAAACACTCGAGATAGTGTTTTAAACTATACTTATGATTCCTATGTGATTAAATCCTAGAGTATATTACATGGGCACGTGGAAATATTGTTCTCACTTGGACATAAATTCAAAACTTCAAGATAAAATTCATGTCTTAAGCAACATCTCTGTAGTGTTCTGTTAAGCAAAAAACTGTAACATAATCATTAGAAGATCAAAAGTTTATGATTTCTTCATGATTCGGAAAATACCAAAACTGTTAAAATGCATTTATATTATKCTATGATTACTGTTATAATGATTAAAAAATACCAAAACTGCCAAAATGCATTTAATATCAATTCATAATTTCTGTAATTGAAATTGAAAAATGTCAAACTTTCAAAATATATTAATAATTAATATTTAATTTATGATTTCTGTAATACCATCTAAGGAAGTTTTATTTTGTAAATAACCTAAATTATGTTTTTAATAGAATAGTATTAATGTAACATTATACATGGTGTACTCTTCATAACACCGTATTTACGCATGTATAAGCCGCTCTTGTAGATAAGATGATAATGAGTTGTTTCTCAGAGCTAGATTTTCGGAGAATTTATAGTAATACTGAGAAGTTTGGGTTAAAATTTCTGTTCCCGCCATGTAAAACAAACTTATCACATTACTGATGTCCAGTGTCTGCAGTAAGTAGCACCGTGAATGCTAATTTAAGCAAATTTAGTTTTTATCGGGCATAGAAGTCTTCTCGTAGATAAGCCGCACCGCCGATTTGGGAACTATTTTTTTGGAAAAAAAGTGCAGCTTATACATGGGTAAATACGGTAAATTGTGCACTATCTGAATGCACGTCACACAGTATTATAAGAATTCAAAATAAGTTTTCTTTACATATTATATATTATATATATCTGCACTGCTTTGCATCGACAAAGCTGAAGAGGAAGAGTTTAACATTTAATGGAAGTTTTTTGTTAGCAAAAATAAATTAGTCTTAACGAAACATGTTTTAAAAGTCTGACCAATGTGCCTTGAATCCCATTTTTATCCAACATGCATATCTTTTTCCTTTTGGGAGCTCCGCTATTAGGTTTTACCTAATTTTTATATTAGAMTAAATATTACATCAAATAAAAATCTGTATGCTAAATTTCCACATGCAAAAAAATAGCGAAGAAGCGCGAATAGCATTTCTCACACATGAAAATATATTAACCAATCATTACACAGAAAAACTGTTATCAACCAAAATGGCTGAAGGTGAACTGTGTTTGTTGATCAAAATTCCACATTTGAAGAGTTTATTAGTGGACAGGAAGGCAAACATAACTAAAGCAAGAAGACTAGAAGTTTTTCTTCAAGAGAGTTTTTGCCATCCAGAATGAACACATCTGCCAAAACTATTAACTTAAATAAACAGAAATAATTATATAGACTGAAATTTGTCTCGTTTGTGTTCAGTTCAGGTCGTTTTATACTTAGTTTTGATTGTTTTCTGCAAAATTAAAACTACTCACAATGCAATATAGAAAGACAGGACTTCAGTAAGACAAGACATGTTACCTGTAGGAAAGCAAAATCAGCTSAAACAAAGAAGGAAATTGCAGTTTGTTATCTCACATACCGACCAAGAAGTACCATATTTTACCCATGTATAAGCCTCACTTTTTTCCAAAAAAATCGTTCCCAAATTGAGGGTGCGGCTTATCTACTTGAAGACTTGTAAAAATGCCTGATAAAATCTAATTTGCATAAATTAGCATTCACGGTGCTACTTACTTCAGACAGGGCATCAGTAATGTTATAAGTTTGTTTTACATGRCRGGAACAGAAATTTTAATCCAAACTTCTCAGTATTACTATAAATTCTCCGAAAATCYAGCTCTGAGAAACACAAGTCAATAAATCAAACTGAAAAGTGTGTGGTTATTGAGCCAATGAACAGAGAGCATTTTCAATCGTCTTTGAGTTGTTTTGGTAACACGATGCTAATTTGCATTGTTCATTTAAGCGACTTTGTCACACTTAAAGTGTGACATCCACCTCGACAAACTAGGATTTCTCGAATGCACGACCCAAGTGCACCCTGGGAACGTTGACATCTATGAGACAAGGAATGGCCAGTAATCTTACTTTTATTTTTAGTACTTGTTTTATAAGTGCCAAGTTACTTGCACCTACAGRCAAAATATTGCATCGACTGCATTCTTTGGATGTTAAAACTTGCCAAATTTACCTTGGTAGGTTCCGAAATCTGCCACAGAATGACTAGGGAAATGACCTTTCTCTAACGACAACAATTCAAAGCGACCTTCGGTTTGTTGCCGTCTTCTTCGAAAAATCGCTTTCCACCTCTGATTTCTTCCAGAAGACTGTCTTTGCCGCCTAGTCGAGCTTAATGATGCAGTCCTACGGGCTTCTATAGCAGTAAATGACTTAAAAAATGCACTTATAATCCTTTTTTTGGCAAATTTGAGCTCGAGTGCTGGCAGCAAGCTGTCTCAAATTCRCTGTGCATTGAAATTTGCATTTCCTCAGGTATTTGAATTGATATTAGTTTGATTGACAGCGCCTTATTGGAAGTTAAGCAATTAAGTTATATCAAGTTTATTATCTTTGAATTTTTATCTAGACATAGGTTCATATTGAGTTTGTTTCTCAAAATAGTTGAACAAGCTTAAAAGTATGCCAAATGAAAGTCTTGTTTTATAGAACAGTGAGCCTGAAGCACGCAAAGAAAGGCAGTGATCCTATATAAGAAAATATARAGGTCAGAATAGATTGAGATATCTTCAAAACTTAAAAAGATTAAGTCAAAAATTAAGTAAAACAAAAAGTATGATTCTTGGAACAYTAAAAGGATACATTGAGCCAGCAAGAAATACTATTGCTTGGTTGACTAACACACCCATAGGAATGTCTGTTTCTACATTTGCTTGGTGAAGTTTTGACATAAGGACATTTACTTGAGAACAAACAACCTTTCTTAGAAACAGCTTCATTACAGTAGTCTTAGGAGAGTCTGAAATCAAAATAGTATTTGATCAATCTGCATCTAGTATTGCATTAAAACCAAGTAATTTGCGTTATTAAACTTAAGATTTCAAATCTGCAGTCACTAAACTTTACTGTAATTACAGTTAGGTAACAGTTCCTGTAACAGTCMAATAACAAATAACAAAAATGCAATAAACAAAAACCAAAAATATACCAAACCCCCCTAAAAATAAGTGAAAGATACTCACGTACGTAGCACCTTCTACACTTTACATATTGAACTAAACAAAACTYTGAACAAAATACRCACAAACACAAACGGGATAATGTGGAGACAGAAGGCAGCATAATTGACTGCTACAGCTCCTTTTTTCAATTTAGTGTCATTAATTAAACTTAGATATAAATACTTATTCTGAAATTCAAGTGTGTCYAGTCGCAAACTCGAAACTGTTTGAAGCAATCAAAAAATAGCTATAATTAGACAGTATAGCTGCCGAGTTTGAGTGCACTCAGATTAATGATATATAATTACAGATTTGCAAGCATTCAAAACTCGAAAATATACACAGAATGTATGGAGCAATATGTCTCTTACTTTTGCAAATTTAAAAATTCCTACTTGGTGAGTATTCAACTAAACTTGATAATAACACTAATTGTAGTCCATGTTGTCTTTCATGTGGTGAGGTTCGGTTTTCTATAAGTAAACTATTTTCATACTTATTCACAGTCTCCTTTTGAATTTCAGAATGTGCTATATAAAAAAATGGAGATTAAATTCTTTGTTTCTGGATAATGAATTTATTCAGATGTTTCAGTCTTCTAAAAATTAAATTGGTCAAATAGCAAGATCAAAATCCAAGTCACTCTTYCTTCAAGCAAGGTAGAGAGAGACATTTACTCCAGAAACTACAGAATAACAATACCTGGCATTCACCGATTTTACACGCAYACCAAAAGGTTAAATTTTAGATCTACACACATGTCGATACAAAGATCAAAAATTATTACTAAAGAACTACTTAAAGATAAAGTTCTATGATAGACCAAAACATCTTAAGAAATTCATTATTATTATCTATTAAAGCAAAAAACAATTTGGGAATTTAATCCCTATGATGAATCCTGGCTGCAGTTTTTACATATTACTGTATCAAATAAATATTACTAGGCAATTTGCAAGAAGCAAAATAATATTTTGTTTATTTTGCCTGAACATATTTGTTTTCAATGTTGTAAACTGTGTATTCAATCAGAGTTAGATGTACTAGCCTTCAGTTAGTTTTGCTTGGTTTCCATCAGAGATCTCAAGTGCAGCAAGCTGTTTTAAGTTGGCTTCACTAGAAAATAGAAACAAAATATAACAAAAAAGCTATAATAAAATGATGCATAAGCAGTAACAAAGGACTAAAAATAGATTCTGAAACCCAAAACGGATGCAGCCTTGAATCAATAAATGGTGGTAATCTATTGATTTGCATGATTCTTTGTGATTCTAACAACCGACGTTTGTTTAATGTCCTCTGTTTTTCTTATTGTTTAATGTCCTCTGTTTTTCTTATTGTTTAATGTCCTCTGTTTTTCTTATTGTTTAATGTCCTCTGTTTTTCTTATTGGCATATACTGTATCAAGATGAACTGCCCTAAACCTGGAACTGGACACTCTGAACTTAAAAATGGCAAAAATTGTAACCTGTTACAATTGGTTGGCCAACCTGTTACTAGGTCAAAAACCGGTTACAGCGGGTTCGCCAACCCGTTACAACCAGTTTTGAGTCAACCCGCTAGAACAGGTCCAAAAACCTAAAATACCTTAGTACTATACTAGGTCACCAACCATCTACAGCGGGTTCGCCAACCCGTTCTGGCCGACTGACTTGCAACCTGTTTGTAACGGGTTGGTGAACCTGCTGTAGCCGGTTGGTGATCTAGTGTAGTACTAAGGATTTCTAGCTTTCTGAACCCGTTCTAGCGGGTTGATTCTGAATCAGTTGGAACGGGTTTGGTTGTAACGGGTTGGCGAASCTGCTGTAGCCGGTTGGTGACCTAGTATAGTACTAAGGATTTTTAGCTTTCTGAACCCGTTCTAGCAGGTTATGGCAAACTGTTGTAGCGGGTTACAATTTTTGCCATTTTTGTGGTGCTCAATTTCATTGTGCACAATTTATATATATATATCATTCTGTGCAATATACCATATTTACTCATGTATAAGCAGCTCTCGCAGATAAGCCGCAGCCCAAGTTTTGGGAACGTTTTTGAGGAAAAAAAGATGGAAAATAAACTTTTCTCTTTAACACAGCTTTCTTCAATTTTTTCCCCCCCCCATGTCAGAAGTTTCCTGATCGCCCTCCAATCTCTAAACGAAATATCACATTACGAACTCGGCTGTAAACAAGTGTATCATAGAACAGGAGAGTCACTGAAGCTTTTTCGAATTCTTTGATATTCAAGACCTTATGTCATTCCAAAACATTCATCTGTGTAAGAGCATGTATTAGGACATTGGTTTAGGTCATGAGGTTGGTGTATCGAGCCAAATAGTTCATTTTCACGGAGGAGTATTCCTAGATGAAGATTTTGTACAGTGGGGCCATGGCGCCAAACTGTCTGATTCTGATACTGGGTATACTTGACCTTTAAATTACTATAATTAGAATAAGTCTATCCATATTTTTACTTTGTTTCACACAAAAGACTATCAGAGTGAACGATTTGAGTCACGTCTGCATTGCCGTGTATTGTATACTGTGTCTACGCTTTTAATGATTTGTCAAAAATTATTGTATATCTAGTTCCTTCAAAAGCTGCTAAATTAAATATAATCAACAAGGAGTTACTTTCACAAATTTTACTCTTGATATATTTGATATCAGTTTCTATAGATGAACTGCATGCCTTTGGTAGATTCTTTATATCTAAACCAGACCCAAATTGAGAAAGATACTAGTATATTTAATGAGTTGTTTTTCATTCAAAAGGTAAAAGCAAACTAGTAATATTAARTGATATAAATCTCATCGTGCTGCCAAACTTCCAAACAAAAGGATCGTGACGAAACCGTTTCATATAAAAAATATCAAAGCAAATAATTGTATTTGTTTAATATAAGGAACAATTTTTGCAAGTCTTCTTGTACTGTAGATAAGCYGCACACCAGATTTGGGAACACTTTTTTTGGAAAAAAAGTGATGCTTATACATGAGTAAATATGGCATGCAATTGTAATTATAGCATAAAAACGTTTTCCTGTAAAACGWTCAACTTACATAGCATTAGATGGTGCTGGAGTCACATCAAGTTCAGAGATCCAATGTAGGGTAAAGTAGATTCTCAGTAAAAGTACTACTTTAGGGATGTAAATAGACGATATGTCCTGAGAATAATGTGGATCAAAGCCAGCCTAGGAAGACAATCCATTAGGTAGTCTTTTTATCTTTACTTTGATGCACAAGCAGCAGCAACATTTCTTAGTTACCTGTAATGTGTTTGAAATTTGCTGTGTGATCTAYATTTTGAACTATTTTTGTTAGTGCTAGATACAAAAGAGTGTTTGTCAGCACTTGGTTTTTACAAAAAAATTAATGCCACTTACAGCTTGAAAAAAAAAACAGAAAAGATTTAAAGAACCAGCAGAGAATGCTACTAAAACAATGTTGTTAGTGATTTGAGAAATGACAGCTTTTCTGATGTTGTAGGGATTTTTTTTACCTTCYGTTCCATAATTTGAATCAAGACACCAATTATAACCRCTAACTCTGAGATTGTAGGATGATTTTTTTGCGAAAAATAGCATAATGGTTGAAATCCAAAGCACAAAAAACTCAGTAAATTGTAAAATTTATCTCAAGTTTATTGACTAAAGTAAACAATGCAAGAAACAACAATGTGCAGGAAACGACATATGGACTAAACGTCATGTCATTCGTGATCGAAGCAAAAACCCAGTGAAAATGTACAATTAATGCCAAAAGAATAGAATCCAATACCATTTTTCTTCAATTGAATGCAGGGTTTTGACTTATTGTGATTCTCAATTTTTTGGGGGGCACTTAAGTCAAAAATGGATCAGATCTGTAGTTTCTTATGAGAAGCCAAGATAAACAAGAAGCTTCCTATTGTCTAATCAACACAGACTATATTTAGTAGTAATAAGTACTGTTTGTTTCACAGATAAAGTATGTTCATGCACTCTATTAGAAATAAAATAACAATAGCAGAAGCACTTCATGTATTTGACATGATTTTTAAGAGCTTAATAACTAAAACCTACCCTTGATCCAAGACAGTCAACAACAGCAAGAAACACAAGGAAGTCCCGACATATTGACTTGTATGTTTTCATGGTTTGTTGGTAAGACAAGGCCAGRATACTATGCATGAACTGACTTCCAAATTTGGATTGATTTCCTACATTCAATGTCCCTGTTTGGTAAAAATTATAATTAATACTTCAAATACTTCTGGTCATGTTGAAAAAAAGAATAATTGGCTATAATACACCTAGTTTTCAGTTGCTCTTAGGCCTCGACAACATGTTAAATATTCTTTTGAATTTGTAGGAATGTGAGCGATGTAAACATTTATATGTCGAATAGTCTCATTTGTCAAATTCAAAAGTATAATTAACTTGCTATTGAGGSCTAAGAGCAACTGAAAAGGTGTATTCTATAATTTTTTAATTAACAGTAAATATAAATATTTGTGTAATAGTCAAAGTGGATTCTAATAAAAACTATGATCTTTATACATAGTCTATCAAGTATTTAGCATTGTTTTACAGCCRTTATGGRTAACACGTAGGGAGCCGAATGAAAAATCCTACTGGATTCATGCATTTTACCGATGTCAATCATAGACATTTCCATGACTACCATTGGATAGCTCCTCCCCCAACATGAATTGGTTTTCTCGAATATCGATAAAACTAGCCAAGAATGGTCAAAGCGTTTTCAAATTCTTTGCGTTGAAGAKTGATAATTCATCAAATGGAGAGGGCTAAGTATTTYAGAAATTTTGTAGTACTTTGTGTGTTAGTGAAGCATTTGTTTCGAAAATACAGAGACTTTACACAAATACACTTGATGTCAGAGAACAGCTCAGGAAATTGTGCYATTCTAAACGTCTAATAATCAGGATATCTGCGGCTACATGCAAGAAATACCAATGAACATGAATCGATTTAGAGCATTCAATTACTAACAAGTACTACAAAATTTCTGAAATACTTAGCCCTCTCCATTTGAAGATTATCACTCTTCAACACAAAGAATTTGAAAACGCTTTGACCATTCTTGGCTAGCTTTGTCGATATTCRAGGAAACCAAGGAGCTATCCAATGGTAGTCATGGAAATRTCTATGATTGACATCGATAAAATGCATGAATCCAATAGGATTTTTCGTTCGACTCCCTACATGTTATCCGTAACRTCTGTAACAATACAAAGTAAAAGCAAATATAATGAGGCTGCCCATGTTGTAATATGTAATCTTTTAGACACTAGGTCCAACCACCTCATCAATTGCTCATTTAGGTTTAAATTTGTCATAGAGTGCAAACACGTATGATGCTCTTGGACTTTATCATGTAGACATAATAATTGTTTAGATTGATTATTCATACTACATTTACAGTCAAAAGACAAGAAGTGCGCCCCTCAAAACACCATTATTCAATTCATTATTCGATTCTTGGTCAATTCAACATTACATTATTGAAATCWAATTTGAATTCAAACTTCGAAATTTGATTGGATTATTGATCAAATTTTCGTAAAGCCTTCTTTGTATTTCACTTGTAAACATGCTGGTCTTTTGTAATTTCCACAAGTCGATGCATTGCAATATGCTGTCTGTTAATTTGGCCTTCTCGTGAGAAAGGAATGACAGTCTCAAAAAGCTGGAAATGCTGAGTTGTTTTCTGTATTATTTTATCAGAGTTTGAGATTTGAATTTRATTTTGCATTAATCAACTGAAGTTTGAAAACGAAAAATAAAATGAAAAAATCCAATAATRCRTTGAATAACAAACTATTCGCGGAGGCTACTTCATGTCTTTTGACTGTAAACAGTTGTTTTTCATTCAAAAGGTAAAAGCAAACTAGTAATCTTAAGTAATATAAATCTCTTYGTGCCGCCAAACTTCCAAACTTCCATTTCTTAGGCTTATTTCTTGGGTATTCAAAATATTTACCATGGATTCTTCACTTTAAGTGTGACAAAGTCGCTTAAATGAACTATGCAAATTAGCATCGCGTTACCAAAACAACTCCAAGACAAAACGATTGAAAATGCTCTCTATTCATCGGCTCAATAATATATAATACATATGTTGTAGTTCAGGTTCAATATATTTTTGAACCAGTTTAATCTAATTTGTTCCAGTACAAGACTTCTTGTACTGGTCTTTCTTTCTTTCTTTTTTCTTTTTTTTTTTTGCTTTGGCATTCTTAAAAGAACTAAAAGAACTATATCCCATCTCATTCTCTCCCATATTCTATCTATCATCTTATTTTCTACCTTCTACTATTTCCTACTTTATCTTACACTATACCCCACAGAAATATTGATATTTTCTATATTTTTAA